TTTTCAAAAACAGCTGTGGTGTTATCTCAAAATAATTTGCAAATGGGAATTCATGAATCCAACTTTAGTGAGCCCATTTCTCCAATCACTGCAACCCTTGTGTTTCTTTTCCAGAGATATTACCTAGATATTATGACAGACATGGAACAATTTTACATGTATATTTTTTATTCCTCTAGGAACTTACACTGTAAAGTCTTGAGGAGCATTTTATATACTTATGTTACTGGATGTCAGCTGCTCCGTAGGACCTAGAGGATATTGGATCAAATTCCAGTCCATGGCCTAAGTTCTGATGGACTCCTAGAAGAATTAGGTTCTCATGGTCCCAGTTCCTGCTTCCATGGAAACAGTTTATAGATTTTTAGCATCCCAGGCAAACTCTCCTTGTCTGTTCAGTTTTGATCCAAGCATGAAATTTAGTCCTTTTTTTGCTGTGATTTCCACAAAATTCATTCATAATAGGGGTGTGTGTCTGCCTTTAGCTGATTTTACCAAAGGTTTAGGGAAGAGTGAAAGGTATTTACATCTCAAAATAGAAATAATGAATGTACACTCCAGCCTCCTACCATGTTGCTTGAGCTATTTGCTTTGATTCTAGCCCCTCTCTGCTCTGCTGACTCACTCCTCCTACCTCCAAGCTTGTTCATCCCAATACAGCGCGGGGTGGGGGTTAGCATCTCTGTTGCCTGGCTTCACCTGACCTTTGCCCTCAGTGACTCACCTCCTTCTATATCCCTATCTTCCTCATTCCCAAACTAACTGAGATATTTTCTTTAAAGTAGATGATGTCGTTCAAGAATTATTCTCATGGAGGACTTGCCTGGTGGTTCAGTGGTTAAGACTTCACCTTCCAATGCAGGGGCTGTGGGTTTGACACCTGGTTGGGGAGCTAAGATCCCACATGCCTCAGTGGCCAAAAAACCAAAACATAAAACAGAAGCAATATTGTAACAAATTCAATAAAGACTTTAAAAATGGTCCACATCAAAAAAAAAAATTTTTTTTTTTAAAGAATTATTCTCGTATCTGCTTTTAGGAGAGTAACGTTCTCACCTTGCTATATTGTGGATCAGATTCTCTTGTTCATCTTGCTTTTTAAATTTTTTTCTCTTCCCCCTACCCTCATTTCTTTCCCCTCTTTCTCGCCGACCCCCTATATAAAGACTCTGTGTAGCTCTAGTCTCAATGCTTTTTCGTCCAAAGGCAGTCTGAGGGCTGTCCCTAGAAGAAAAGGATGGGATTCCTCGTCATAATGACATGTGTGTGTATGAGCTGGTGGTGATGGTCTGAGCCTCGATGGTTTGTAGGATGGGATGTGGGCGGTGGCTTTCTCCCTGGTCTTACCCGAAGCACTCTCCCTTAGCCCTGCACCGGCAGCCTGGAACCCTACCATTATGCCTTTGCAGTTTGTTTTGCAGCCTTTCCTTAAGGCTTGTTTTGTACTTTAATCTTTAAATTTCTGGGTAAAGGTAAAAAGAAGTGAGGTATAGGTTTAATTAGACAAGCTTCTCAAAAGAGCAGAAAAGGTGAAACAGAAACTTTCAAGTTCTTACAAGCTGCTATTTACAAATATCCCACAGAAACACCCTTTACCCTTTTCTTTTATTAAAAGAAACCTATCTGCCTTATTTTTTTCTATCTTCTTTCTCTTTTTTACTATACCTTTGAAAATATTGATGCTTCTCCCAATTCTTCTCAGTGTTGCAGAGTTTCCATTAACCATGGAAGATAACTTCCTTCCTCTCTCCTGTGGCTATTTCACTGTTTAAGTCATCACACTCTTTACTGTTGGAGTCCGTAACCTGCCCTCTTCCTTTTCGTAGTCCTGGATATACAACCTGCCATCACATTCTTTGGGACTTCAACTATGAGCTGTGTTTCTGCTGGAGTCTTCTTAGGATGTGTTCTCTTGGCAGCATGAGCAGCAATTGTTCGTGGTGACTAAATTCCAGCATCTTTTTCTACTCTGTGCTCATTTCTGAGTAGTTAACAGCTTCTGGAAAATAGAGCACTGTCTTTACCTTCCTGGGATTTAAATAGGCACATTTTAAAAAGTACATCTTTGTGAAGATTGAAAGAAATAAATATGACATCAGAAGGCGGAGAGGAACTTCTGGAGATTGTCTACGTGTTCCCCTCCTACGTTGGGCTGTTCTCTTAAAGCCATCGTAGCAGAAACTCGGAGGAATGCGGAGACTATCTGGAATGCTGGAAATATACTAGTCTGCTCTGCTGTTTCCTAGCTACGTGAACGTGGGCAAGTGATTGAACTTCTCTGAACTTTAGTTGGGTTCTTCTGTAGAATGGGGAGAAAATGACCTACCTCTCTAGCATGGCAGATGCTAGCCAGTCAGGTACCTTTGTGCAGAATATAAAGACATCCCATGAGGGTGAACAGCTGACCGAGGGGGGCACAAGCAGGATTTCAGCCCACACTTGCCCCTCATCTGGGCACCCTGGTGCAGGGCATAACCTGAAACCCTCTGCAGCAGCCAAGCTCCAGAGGTTTATCGTCTTCCCCCATGAGGAGCAAGCCTGGAGAAGGGCTGGGCAGGGGGCAGTAATGGGGCCGCCTGGTTGCTTGGCAGGGACTTAGCACCTCCAGAAGGTGCCTGCCTTTTTACCTTCTAGCTCGTCTCTATTTTCATCACAGCATTAACAATGTCATATTAACATACTAGCTCAAAGGTGTCACTCTTGGAGAAGGTGCTGGGGAAGCATTTCTTTCCATGCTGGTCTCTAGCCCCTACCTTATGCCTACTTCACAGATTATTGGGGGCATTAACTGAGACCACGAATGAGAAAACATCTAGAATATGGCCCCAAACACTGACTTTCTTACTTTTTCTCTTTGATATTTCTTCAGGATAGTCTGGCATCTGTCAAGGCTTTCTCCTACTATTTTCTGTTCCAGAGGTTTCCAAGGTAGAGTGCTTGACCTCCAAGAAATATAAAGGATGCCCCATTGAGATGAGATTAAAATGAAAGCTTTATGTTTATTTTAAACTTAAAGGAAAAATAATTAAGTTTTCTAATATTTGACATATGGATTGGCAATACTTTATGGGTATAATTATAGGTAGACATATATGCCCACAAACGTGGGCATGTTTAACATCAGGTAAGTGATTAAAATGTTTGAAGGCATTCTCAAACATTCTCACAGCTCTGTAGCCACTGAACCCTCTGAATGCAATTACATTTGTTTTTCTTCCCTGCCTTCTTTCGATTTACATAGTAAGTAGTAGCCCCCTGCTATATCTTTTAGGCTGGAGCCTTTATAAATTCTTTATAAATGAAACTTCCTCTCTTCCCCTAACCTCATTCTTTCATTGTTATCTGCATAGGATATGGGGAGAGATCAGCTTTTCCCCTAAAATATGTATAATTTGTATAAGGTAATTTGTTACTTAGGATAAAGTCAAATGGAGATCTTTTGGGTTTAATCCTAGAAATTCAATAAAATAAAATAAGAATGTGGGCTCTGGGTCCAGGTGGCCTGGGCTTGATAACATTAAGCAAGTTACTTAACCTTTCTGTGGCTTGGTCTCCTCATCTGTGAAACTGAGATAAAAGGAATGCCTGCCTTATCAGGTTAAGGTGACAATTAAAATAATTAATACCCATGACATTATTGGAACAGGATTGCATATTAAATACAACAGAAAGTTTGTTGCTGTCATCACTATAATCACCATCTTTGTCTTCATCCCTAGGAGACGTGTGGTCTACACCCAGACCTATGCAACTCTGAATTGGAAGGACTAGTGTCAGTTCTAGATTCATTCACTTTCTCAGCAAATACTGGTGGTCCCCTATGCATCAGACACTCAACTAAGGGTTGGGTGCTCCACTGCATTGTCAAAGCTTGTAAATACTTCTCTCTATGCGGCTATATCTCCCATGTCACCAGGTTATGGTCATATTCTCATGCCATAGCAGTCTACTTTGTAATAGAGTCAGTTCCTACTTCTAGATTCAACATAAAGAGCTTTGCTGTTGCAAAATCATTATACACTATGGATTTTCAGCCATTTGACCTAATAAGGTACACATAGACTTCCCCTGCATTATTAATTCCATGTTATTAGCGTCAATTTCTTGGTTATTCTTCTTTCTCTGAACTGTTTGCTTATTGTCCAGATGGTTCCACTTACATGTACTTCTTCCTGGGGATGATTCCTCCAGGTTGATTCAAGGAGTATTTTGCCTCATCCTACCTCATCTTCAGAAAGAATGTGTTCTCTCTTACCCAAACTGCAATCTTGTGAGACTGCTGGACATTCTTAGGGCTTAATATTCTTTTCAACAAATTGAAGCATTGGTAGAGGGATAGAAGTTGATGTAATATTTTGTGTGAAAAGCAGCAAGTTTAGACATAAATATTTTACTATCGAACATTCCTGTATTTTTTCATCTCTCTCTGAAGAAATAGTTTTTACAAAAGCTTAGTAAATTCCCATTTTATTAAAGCCATTCACGTCGTTCATCTATGCCTGTCTAAGATATGCATAGAAAGAAAAGAGGAAACAATAAAGACGGGAATTTCTCCCGTATTTCCTCCTTTTAATGCTTCTCATACAGAAACTAATATCAATCTTGGGAGCCATCCAATTCAAGACTGAGTCTCATAAGAGGATGTATTTCCCAGACCAATGACTGATTCTCCCAGGCTTCAGTGAGAGAAGAGATGCAAATTTTTTTAAATACGTGAATGTTCTTTAAATATTTATTTTGTTGTGAATCGTTCCGTGTCCTAACAAAACTGCTGCGTTTTGTGTCCTGAGTTAGACATGGTGAACAAAGATATATCGATGCAATTCATTTTTCCCACATGTGGGCTAAGGATAAAAATCTCGGTGCTGGAATTGAACATTGTATTCTCCAGGCAAAGGAAATGGACATTTATTGGATGGTATTGCTGCTTTCTTCGCACTAATGACATTATGAAAGCTCTTTGGGTAATATAATTTGAAAATATTATTTCTTTGTTTCAGGTCATGCAAGACAAGATAATCTGCCTTCCAAAAAGAGTGCAGGCTTCTCAGAACCAGTCTTCCGTTTCGAATGTCTCTCAAGCAGTGGCCAGTACCACCCCACTGCCTCCCCCAAAACCATCTCCCACTAACCCAGTCACTGTGGAAATGAAAGGACTGAAGACAGATTTGGACCTTCAGCAGTACAGCTTCATTAACCAGATGTGCTATGAGCGAGCGCTCCACTGGTACGCCAAGTATTTCCCTTACCTTGTCCTCATCCATACCCTGGTCTTCATGCTCTGTAGCAACTTCTGGTTCAAATTCCCTGGTTCCAGCTCCAAAATAGAACATTTCATCTCAATCCTGGGGAAGTGTTTTGACTCTCCCTGGACCACACGGGCTTTATCTGAAGTGTCTGGGGAGGACTCAGAAGAAAAGGACAACAGGAAGAGCAACGTGAGCAGGTCCAACACCACCCCGTCCGGTCCAGAAGGCGGCCTGGTCAAGTCTCAGTCTTTAAAGTCAATCCCTGAGAAGTTCGTGGTTGACAAGTCCACTGCAGGGGCTCTAGATAAGAAGGAGGGTGAGCAAGCGAAGGCTTTGTTTGAGAAGGTGAAGAAGTTCAGGCTGCACGTAGAAGAAGGTGATATCCTGTATGCTATGTATGTTCGTCAGACTGTACTTAAGGTTATAAAATTCCTAATCATCATCGCATATAATAGCGCCCTGGTTTCCAAGGTCCAATTTACAGTGGACTGCAATGTTGACATTCAGGACATGACTGGATATAAAAACTTTTCTTGCAATCACACCATGGCACACTTGTTCTCGAAACTCTCCTTTTGCTACCTGTGCTTTGTAAGTATCTACGGATTGACGTGCCTTTATACCTTATACTGGCTGTTCTACCGTTCTCTGAGGGAGTACTCTTTTGAGTACGTCCGGCAGGAAACTGGAATTGATGATATCCCAGACGTGAAAAATGACTTTGCTTTTATGCTTCATATGATAGATCAGTACGACCCTCTGTATTCCAAGAGATTTGCAGTCTTCCTATCTGAAGTGAGTGAAAACAAATTAAAGCAGCTGAATTTAAACAATGAGTGGACTCCGGATAAACTGAGGCAGAAGCTGCAGACGAATGCCCATAACCGCCTGGAATTGCCTCTCATCATGCTCTCTGGCCTTCCAGACACTGTTTTTGAAATCACAGAGTTGCAGTCTCTAAAACTTGAAATCATTAAGAATGTCATGATACCAGCCACCATTGCACAGCTAGACAATCTCCAGGAGCTCTCTCTGCACCAGTGCTCAGTCAAAATCCACAGCGCAGCGCTCTCCTTCCTGAAGGAGAACCTCAAGGTCTTGAGCGTCAAGTTTGATGATTTGAGGGAGCTGCCCCCCTGGATGTATGGCCTCCGGAACCTGGAGGAGCTCTACCTGGTTGGCTCCCTAAGTCACGATATTTCCAAAAATATCACCCTTGAGTCTCTGCGGGATCTCAAAAGCCTTAAAATTCTCTCTATCAAAAGCAATGTTTCCAAAATCCCACAGGCAGTGGTCGATGTTGCCAGCCATCTCCAGAAGATGTGCATACACAACGATGGCACCAAGCTGGTGATGCTTAACAATCTGAAAAAGATGACCAATCTGACAGAGCTAGAGCTGGTCCACTGTGACCTGGAGCGCATTCCTCATGCCGTGTTCAGCCTGCTTAGCCTCCAGGAATTGGACCTCAAGGAAAATAACCTGAAATCTATAGAAGAGATCGTTAGCTTCCAGCACTTGAGAAAGCTGACAGTGCTAAAACTGTGGCATAACAGCATCACTTACATCCCAGAGCATATAAAGAAACTCACCAGCCTGGAGCGCCTCTTCTTTAGTCACAATAAAATAGAGGTGCTGCCTTCCCACCTCTTCCTATGCAACAAGATCCGATACCTGGACTTGTCCTACAATGACATTAGATTTATCCCGCCTGAGATCGGAGTTCTACAAAGTTTACAGTATTTTTCCATCACTTGTAACAAAGTGGAGAGCCTTCCAGATGAACTCTATTTCTGTAAGAAACTCAAAACTCTGAAGATTGGGAAAAACAGCCTATCAGTACTTTCACCAAAAATTGGAAATTTACTATTTCTCTCCTATTTAGATGTCAAAGGCAATCACTTTGAAATTCTCCCTCCCGAACTGGGCGACTGTCGGGCTCTGAAGCGAGCTGGTTTAGTTGTAGAAGATGCTCTGTTTGAAACCCTGCCTTCTGATGTCCGGGAGCAAATGAAAACAGAATAACTTATTTTTGTTTAAAGTTTGACTGAGACATGCTTCTACCAAATACAGTATAAATAATTAGGTAGTCTTAATGCCTTTCCTATTTTATTATTTTTTTCTTTTTCACACACAACAAAATGTACACAAAGACTGAGTAAGGAGTATGTATTTTTAATAAAAAGTTAATTGTATTTTTTCAATATTAATATTTTAACGTTTTATTTGTCCTGGAACCTAATGTATCTATTACTGTTTCCTACTGACAGAAACAGATGGTTCCGTCTGTTTTTTTTTTGTTTTGGCTGTTTTGTTTGTTTTGGTTTCTTAGCTCATTCTTGTGAAGGGAAGGGAACTTTTAAGTTGCATGCTTTTGGTGTTTTGTAAATCGATGAAGATATTTTGCCAAGGTCATTTTTAGCTTGTTTACACCTGTACAGGGTCCTTGTTTTTGTTTTCGTTGTATGTGTACCAAGGAATCTGTGCTAGTTATTTTAATTACAGCTGCCTTCTCCATTGGCCAAGTATTTCATTCTATAGAAAACACTTCTCTGGAGTGTAAACTCACATAAGGGCATTGTCATAGACTATTATTTTCGAAATTTCCCCTTGCCTCCAACAGAACCCTAAATACTATTCTTTCACACACCTGGCAGTTATTTATCCTTAGGCAAGGATTTTGTAAGTGAGTAAAGACAATAATCTCCCATGGTCAGCTTGCTTGAATTGGTCATTTATAATTTAACTGATTTACATTTTTACCAACATTTAAAAAATATCATTGAAAAGGAAATACAGAGGTTCCTCCCATTTAATATCAATATTGTATGTAGTACTGGTGAACAACCTTAGAAATGCTCATTTATTTTAATTAAAATAGGTAATTAAATTTAAAAATCAGAATCAGAAGCCTGTTTTTTAGTAACTTAATCATCTTTGATATCTTGATATGTGAATACATCCGATGGAAGAAAAAAAAAAATGTGCTACTAAAGCCCTCTGCTAAAGAGCTGATGCACTCCAGGCAGGCACACTGGTTCCTCTGGGTGTGGAAGTGGTGATCTCTATTCAAATTCTGCCTGTTAACACGAAATAATCCACGTATATGTACATATATAAATCTATCTCCCTCAAGCCTGTCCTTGCTGCAAATGCTAGTGACGCAAGCACAGAAAGTCTGCTCTCTTTGGCTTAAAAAAAAGTATCTCATCTAAAATGGTTCTGTTCCTTTTTTTTTTTTTTTTTTAAGTGTGAATAAATTGCTAAGTAGATAGAAATAATTTTTGCCTGGTGGTTAGCCAAGCTTTATTTATCTCTGTACTTAAACATCCAACATAGTATGGGTCTTGGGCAAAAGTTTTCACTGACTATTAAGCTGTATAGAACAGGAAAATGAAAGCACTATTTGTGCCCTCAATCCAGGACCAGTGCTACCTATCATGGGAATTTTGTTTTATGCTCCAAATTCACACTGTTTTCGGAACCCTAGTCTGACCTAAGGACGTTTTGTGACTTAACGAAGAAAAATAGAAAGAAGGTTTGGGGTTTCAAGATGCTGCTTTTAAAATTTACCCCTTGATCCTGGTGACTTTGTTTAATGCTACTTTGAGTCATACATGGAACACAGCTATGGGAGCTACTCAGCAGATATATGTACCTCAACTGTGTTTTAAATGTTATGATACTTCGTGGGGTAAAGGATTTGGGGAAGAGATGCTTTTCATTTGTTTAATAATTGAATCATGTAGACCAAAATGCTTTGCTGTCTCTGCTCTGTGTTTAAGTATTACAATGGTGATTTTGTATAGCTGGTTTATTTCGCCCTGGAATTGAAACAAAATGTTTAAAATAGTACCATGGTTATATGTCTTGTAGGATAAAATATTCAATTCTAGAATGTTGTTAGGATCCTGATTATGAACAATGTGTTATATTTAGAAACATAGCGCTACCTGTTTTAAACAAACAAACAAACAAACCTGGAGGGTTGTCCATGGCTGAGCATGACAAGAATACCCCTGTTGCAAGGTGAGCCTTGATAACTACTGGTAAAACACTAGGTGCACTATTTTTCTGGATAAAATTTATAGTTGTTTTCTGTATCACCCTTAAAAGGGACCTATTCAGGTTAAAAATCATATTTATGCTGAAATCTTTATCTGGTGTTAACTCATAATCTCATATGTGTTCATAACTGAAGTAACTAATAATTAGTCTTTGTGACAATTTGCTCAAAATGCCAAAAGAATTTGATTCGCTTTCTTAATGATTTCACAGGCTGACCCCTAACCTAAGTTCTAAATAACATCCAGTAAATCAGTATAGTTCTATGACATTATGGTTTAACTAGGAAGGAAAATTCATAGATGTTTCTGTTACATTTTATAAAAATTCAAAATGTTCAAACTTCATCTTGAGTCTAAATTTTCTGACCCTGACCCTTTCTAATATTGTATATTTTTGTTCACATTCTTAAGTGAAAAGCATTAAATTACTCTTTAGCCTTTAACTGGGAAACTCAGGTAAATGAACTGCTGACTTTTCTAAAGTTCTTTAATGAATCAACTCAGTGTTAAAAGGGGTATTAACCCAATCCTTTTCGTATTTTTACAAGTGCTCTTGCTAAAAAGGAACAACTAGCTCTATTTCTCCAACTTCTGTAAGACTCATGAGAAACAGCTTATGTAAATATAAAAGCATCATATGTACTCTTAAATCCTATGGCTATTGGACACACATAGTGAGTATGCTTTTTGGTCAGTTTTAATGGTTAGGTGTAGAACAGACAGTTGTCTGGGGATGGTCTGGTTGAAACAGAGCATCTAAGTATATCCCAGTGGAACTCACCTAAGAAGACCACATCTCAGAAAACTAGTTATATGTTGGGTTTTCACTTTGTTTTGTTTTTAATACAACACTTTTAATATAAATGTTCTTGATACAGTGAAACCTGTTATTTACACTGGTAAATTTTCTGATTGTTCATTCACCCACCTTTCTCTTAGGTTTCCAATGTAGCTATTGTAATGAGTTCTAACAATTTCCATGGCATCCTGTGTGCAGGCACTGCTTTTTCAGGAAGGCTTGGGACATAAGCCTGCTGTGAATACTTTGGTGATTTAGAGGTGCCTCCATATCTGCCTCTGAAGCCATCTTTATAGAGAGGGGCTTAAGCAACCTGGAATCTTCCCTGGGTTACTTGGGATGAGGAAAGTCCACATTTCTGCAATATGCTATCTTATGATTTCTGTTATAAGAAAGAGAAGAAAAAAATCTTTACATCTCTTGCTATCATTTCCCCCAAGGGTTTTGCTGTTGTTTATGTTCCTAATTCTAAGAAAAGTCCATTTTTTAAGGAGTATTTTACTCTCTAATCTAATTTCATACCAAATACCTGATCAGTAGTAATGATATATTTACTAAAACAGTGAACACTCATGATCCATCTTTATGAAAACTGTCAGCAATATGTAGTAGTGAATCGATAAGAGAAACCTCAAAACAATTTCCATTTGTGTTTAGAGACTAAATTAAGATTCAGTTTACATTCTCCTATAAATCCTGAATGTGATAATGCCGTTCAAGCGATTCACATTTTTGGTAGGATCTCAAGAACTCAGGGTACATGGGGTTCCATAGCAAAACAGCACAGTTATTAGGGGAATGCCTCAAGGGTCGGTAAGGTTTTTCTCACTTTTTTTCTTGTCTATTCAGATACATTGTAAGAAAGCCTGGACAGTCTCGACCAGACGTGCCATTGATTTTTCAGATTTAGGCCTCAGTGACATGCTTCTAATACAATTACATACCATCCTTCCAAACAAGCTGTCCACTCTTACTCCATCTTCCCAGAGCCTTTCACTGATAAAGGTAACAACCTTGAATTCCTTTGGGGGAGAGGGAAGAGGGTCTCGTCCCACCCCAAGGAATTTTTTTTATTTAGAAGGGGATAACAACTTGATTTCTCGGCCATGTTAAATAACAGTCCCTATGCATGGTTTTGGATGTGGAATAAATTTGCTTTCTGCTGAATACCATTCCCTCTCCCATACGATTCCGCCTATTTAATGAATATTTTTACTCGGGTTGAAACTCAATGCCTTACGTGGTCACTTAGTTTTCCTTCTGCTGCTTGTTTTCTCTCGCTTTATGTGTTCAGATTGTGTCAAATGCTGGCAAAACCTCTAAGACTGTCAAGAAAATGCTTGAAAGTTGATTTGTCATAGTGTAAACTCGTGATACAATGTCTTAAGGTTATTTGGCTATGTAGTACATAGGAACAGAAAATAAAGTCATTTTTGTAATTTAAAATTGAGTTTGGTCCCTTTCTTATTCATTTGTAGAAATCATGTTTCTCTTTTGGGTTTCTCTTGTATTTTTGCATATTCTGTTATTAAGGCTTCCTGTACTCTGCAGGAAATAGGCTGCATGCATTCTTTCACTTTGTATTTAGCTAGTTTCTGCAATTGTGACTAATTATTTCCTTCCTTAATTCTCTGTACTGCATCTCCCCAAGGTGCCCCTGGAGTTTCATTTGGGTAATTAGTGCCTTACTGTGTAATCTGGAGGGCAGTTTCTGTGCATTTGCCAGATCAGATTGTACAATGGCTGTCCAGCCCAGCTTTCAGTAAATACTTTTATGGTAATGATTGTCATTAAAGAAATCAGAATGGTTCTGTACAACCAGAAGGCCTCCCCTAGTTAAACACATACACCCCAGGCTTAAGGAAGCCCTTTATAAGAAAACTTTATGTACCACTTATGCATAAGAAAATTGTGACCGGTAAATTTCGAAGCTAAATTGTCACTTTACATATTTTTCTGTAGTTATTTATGACTCAGTTATTTTACTGATAATCCTTTGGAGAAGAACTGTTGAGATGAGGAAAGATTGTGAGTGTGGTGAGAGAGGCCTCGCGAATGTGTGTATCAGAAACTTAGAAGGGAGTATGTGAGAGCTCTGGAGAAACTTTGGAGACAAGAACTGAGATGGGCAGCAGATTAGAGACATCTGGTGATTTCAGTGTAATTTGCACATAAGAAAAATCTCTTGTCCACTGCCACCTTCCACTGCCCCATCTTCCAGTCCTTTCATTTGTACAGAATATTGAGATAAACACTGAAATTAACTAGATTGATTCAGTTATTCATTATTGTTGGCTAGCAAGATATAAGATAAGCACTTTGATTTGGATGGAGATGTATATGA